CACTGCTGTGAAATGTGGTACAAGTCTCCACCGTCTCAGGAAGGCACGCTTTATCTACTTCCCTCACACACACACAACATGAAATTATCAAAAAGGGCATTTAGAAAATTCTCTGAAAACTCTATGAACTAAAAACACCACATGACTCTTCACTATTCACTCTCTCCCTTAGAGCTCCAGACTCTTTTCTCAGGCACAATGGCCAGCTGGTTAAGATTCAGTAGAAGTAGTTTTGCTGGCCTACAGTAGAGTATTCAGTGCCAACAGAGGCAACGCTCACCAGCTCTCTGTTAATACCCTCCTCCCCTTCTCCCCCCCCCGCTATCTCTCTCACCCTTCTCTCTCTCTCTTTATCTCTCCCTCTCACACACACAAGACACAAGATAGTCATTTGCTCTCTCCAAGCTCCGAAAGAATGAAAATTATGCACACAAGGCAAAAGCTACAAGCTCCTCCAAAACCTGACCTGGTCTGAAAATAAAAACACATCTTTGTAAATCTCTGACCACATAATGATACAATTCAATCACAAGTCTTTAAGAAACTTAAGAAAATTATCTTAACTACAAACTCGAACAGCTCAAACAAAAATATGACTATGATGGCTACAGTCACATTGCTGCACAGCTTACTAATGAGACTAGATCTGGGAGGACTGTGGCATATGACATGCTGACGTGCTGAAGTGGGTTGTTTTTTGGTTGATTGATATCGGTTGTTTTCAAACTTTGGTGTTCAAACAATGCAACTGCTTTAGATGCCATAAGTAACATTGTCACAGTTTTGCATCACAATACAATGTGACTGTCACTCCTCTAACCTTTATGCTTGAAAACATCCCTATATATATATATATATATATATATATTATTGAATGTTCTTGTGATTGATTGAGCCTGACTGTTATATCGTCTGGCCAACAATATTAGTTGATATTGATGATTTGCAGTTTCATTGCAAAAACTGTTGTCAATAATTAACAACTTTTTTGGTTGCATTATTACTGGGATTTGAACTCATGACCTCCTGACAACAGGGTGAAACCTTTGATGGGCTAAAGTTTTCAGGTGTGTTTAAATACATGGTGGCAATACAGGCTGAACTGGTGAATCTAAACACAAAATGTCATCAGGCTCCAATGACAAAAACTTCAACTTTAGGATGAGAATAAAATGTTGTAACACAACAAAAAATTATAAAGTAAGAAAAATAAGAGGTAATTAACACTGTAAAGAACTCTGGGTAACTTGTCCACAGCACTACAGCATTTATTTAAATTTTGTGAGTTTCTGCTGCTTATTTGATTTTAAGAAACATGACCTTTGAGAATAGTCATGTTTCATGGTTCACAGATGACAACTGAATCATCGGTCAGTGTAAAGTATTGTTTAACTAAAACTATTGGAGTATATAAAGTTATATTACATAAAATTACATTGACCAATATCATCACTTATAGGAAGTTTTAGTCCTTAAAATTATTATTAGCATTACAGGTGAATGAACCCTCAGCCCACATTTCTATTTGTTTCAGGATACTGGGTTCATATATTCACACAATATTTTGAACAAATTTCAAAGGAGGCAAGATAATGATGTGTCATTGATGTTGCACAGCTTACTAATGAGATTAGTAAACTGTGTTTTTGCTAACCTTGGAGTTCAAATAACGCAATCAGCTTGCATTAGATGGCATAAAAAATAGAACACCTATTCTTTATGACACATTGGCAGATTACTGTCATACATTTTACACCCCAGTTTCAATCATATCTGTTGGGTCATAATATATTCTATCTATCAATGTGAGAACAAACATATTTTACATTATATTTAATGTATTTTATCCTACATTAACTTATTATTATTTTCCTTTTCCATTTTTTACTTTTCCATTATTGTAGTAACAAATATATATTACGTTTTATATATTATATAATACTATTATATATTAAAATCTCAAAACCTTTTTATTTGCACATTATTTTGTTTTTTTGGCCTTCAGTCCATCACAAACAAAAAAATTTGGGCATCCCTATGCTACAAGAAAATGGTGGCACCAAGTAAACACACACGCACAAACACATACAAAACAGATAACACTGATCTCCCTCATCTCTCGCTATCTCTCTGCCCATCTTTTTTCTGTTCTTTCATCTTCCTCCCTCTCCGTCTGAAAGCTTCCAGTCCATAGCTTCTTTAAGATCAGCCGATTACAAAACAAGACCAAAGCAGTCAGCACATCCTGACACCATTAGAATGCCCATTCTCTCTCTCTCTCACTCATACACACACACAGCCTCCGCCCTGACCAACACTTTGAGTTATTCATTCTTGCTCTATTTCACAATTTTGTTTACTCTCTTTGCCTAGAAGACTACAACCACTGTTTACATTCACACTCAAGTAAAAGTAAAAACACTTCAGTTAAAAGTAAAAACCCTATACTATAGCTAGAAAAACAGCAAAACCAACTTGAATAGAAGTCAAAAGAGCATATAAAAACTACTTAAGTACTAAGGAAGTTACAGAAATGGAAATTCTTAGTACATCCAGCATCAGCAGAGGAACTGAAGATTTTCAGGCTCTGTACTTCTATTTTAGGGATACTTTTGCTAAATGCTGGAAAAAAAAAAGTTCAGCTACTGAATCAACAGAACAGAATGAAATATCAAACACCAAAAGAATTAGTATTAGTAACTCAATGACAGTGGCTAAAGTGGAACTCATATAAGTATACTTATCATTTAAAAATGTTCAAGGAAGTACAAATCCAAATGAACCTTTGTAAATGTAATTAGTTACTACTCACTGCTGACATGTAGTACTGCTAAATCAAGGCAGCTGCTATATTCTAACATTATACCATGCGTCCAGTCGCCTTGAATTCAATACTGCTAGGCTGCAACAGTAGACATATTTTCAGGTTCAATTCTGAGCTTTTCAGTCTTTGTATGTGTAAAAATGTCTTGAATTCACACAGTTGTAATTACTGAGACCTCAAATAGAACTTTTTAGTCCACTAAATCCTCTAAATAAGCCTCAAGAATTATGCTAGAATTAAGGAAACATCAGGAAAAAAAGCCCTGTCCAACCCATCCCACCCATTTTGCACACTCAGGATGCACCCAGATATCTAATGTTGTTCAGTGACAGTGGTTTGGTTATGATGAAAGAGAGCAAATGGGAGACGGAAGGGCAGAAAAGACTGAGGGAGATTAAATGATAGCTTTTAAAACTTTCCTTTTTTCGATTTTTCAATACTGGACTGAAATTGTTCACACTTGCACAATCTTAATTACTACTAGACAACCAGTCTAGTATCTGCAATGTAATAGATCTGTGAGTACGTGTTGCCTTTTTGCAATTGTTAACAAATAAAACAAATGTACATTAATATGTACATACAATAAAGATTCAAAATACAAATGTTGCTACAAGCAACCTAACTTTGCTGCGCAATGAACTGATATCATAGACTGGCAACCTCTGCAAAATACTCCACACAAACCAGCAAGCTTTGACAAATGTGATAGTTAAGTTGCTTTGGCAGTAGTAGCCAATAGTGTTGAAGTGCAATAGTACTTCAGAGGCATGTTCCTCCTTCTGCCTACGGATGGACTTTTGCTACTGCAGGTTTAAGAAGTAAGAGGCAAGATATGGATGAAAAATTTGTTTAGAGAGTTTGCACAGCTACTGTATATGTATAAGGCAGTCATATATTACCTATGAAAAAACACTAATCTAAAATAACTGTTACATTAACATGCTTCAGACTGCACTGTATGGCTCACTGTCACTGCACTAGCCAGTGTGTTACGTCTTCATACAGAGTCCAGACATGCACAGTCACACACAGCTCTCCAGTTGCAAACATCTCACTCACACACACACACACACACACACACACACACACACACACACACACTCTAACTCTCCTCATGATTCAGTTCTTCCAAACAGTCACATTTAAACAACGCGCTAGTCATCTCTCCCTCCCACATCACACTCTGTTCCAGAAGTCACACAGCACTTTCTGTACTTCCACACACACACAGGCTCAATTAGTTTAGAGCTCCTGGAATAACAGAAAACACTTAAGAATCTGCCATTAGAAAAAAAGAAAATTAAGCAACAAGACATTGCAAAATAAAACTTTTATTTTTCTGGTACCTATCATGAAACCTTATACTGGCGGATACCAAATCTGATCCAATATTCTTTAAAAACTACTACAATTTAAAAGGGACGATGCTCATTGAGCTCCACTCTTCCACTATTTTTCTTTAAATAATATTATGGGTAAGACACACTGTATCTGCAAGAGTTAATGAACAGATATCTGGTATATAACCGTGGGGGAAAACAACAAAAACCGACCAAAAAAGGTGGTTAGGAGTGGCACAGTGTAATATGCATACTTCCTAATAATTACAAGCAAAATCATATCTTTTTACAGTCCTGTTCAAACATAAGAGCAGCATTTTATTGTATTGTTAGAGTGTATATAAATGATGAAACTTCCCTTGCAATCAAAGATGGCCATCAAAAACACCAGAATTCTCAAACTGCTCAAACTTTATAACTACCCAACAAGATGACTTAAACAAAAAAAAATGCAGGTGTAACAAGCACATTATTTGAACAATCCACATCAACTTATTAGGATATAAGAGCATAAGAGCCCTCTGAGAACCTTCTGGGGTTTGTCAGCAAGTTTAACGGCACCAATGAACGAAGATTTAAGTGACTATACAAAAAAAACCACAACCTTCCAGCAAAACACCACAGTAAAAATCTCCTAGTCACGAAATATTAACCAACATGCCATCAGCAAAAAACTTTTCAGACTCAGCTATCAGAAGAAGCAAACCTTCATCAGTGCACACAGTCAGTCCACAAACAGGTTTAAAAGACTCAAATTGTTTCATAACTGAAAAAAGCTCTCCACTACACAGCTGTGTAAAATGTGTGTTAGTGTGCATTTCTCTCTTTCTTACCTTAATGGAGCTGGAGGCATAGAGCATGTCCTCCAGAGTGAAGTGGCAGCAGTTGTTCAGATTCTCCCTGCAGAAGTCTTGGATCAGCTGTAGGTTGTAGAGGCTGTCGGCCAATGACATCGTCTCCTTAACACAGATATCTGCACGGGGCGGGAACAAAACGTGGAAGGAGCCAATGAAAACAGAGACTTGTGTGTGAGGGTTGGCAGGAAGAGAACTGGTGATGAACGCTGGGAGTTACAGGGTGGGGAAGTGTTTATGTTCGAAAAACTGCTCTACTGGTCACTCTTCCAACCTCTCCTTTCCTTCCATTCTTTCTTCTGTCTCATTCTTTCTACAAATACATATTTCCTTTCTCTTTACTTTCCTCCATGCTCAGTTCCTACTAGTCACTATTTACATTTAACAATACCCACAAAACAAAAAAGTTTCACAAAGAATCTTTAAAACAGTTCAACTTGATCTGAAAAGATTAATTCAGAAGTGATTAAGCCTCCATCTGGTCCTTTCTCCAGAAGGTTCTCTTTTTTGTTTCTGTGTGGAATAGTTCATTGTCTTTCCTGGTTTTCAGCCCATCTTCATGTCTTTACCACTGTCTAACTGTAAAAGCGTTAACAACAAGCTATTTTTTCCCTGTTAACAATGGACGCCCTAATCCAAGCTCCAATGCACTCCAACTAATCCTGGCAATTAACAATTTGAAACAGATGTGTGATTTAGAAAGAAAATCACTAAACTGTGCTGGACTCTGGCCCTCCACGACCAGAACTGAATACCTCTACATTAAAATACACCTGGACCTGGACTAGGGGTTGGCAATATGACAAAAATATAATCACAATACTTTGACATTTTCATGGTAGATGATACACATTAAGATAATTCGTTTTTCTGAAGAACTGGCAAAAAAAGAGTAAAATCATTTTTATTCAAAATCAATAAAACAGTACTAATTACGTTTTGTTTGTAATGAAACATGCAGTTGGTCAGTTCTTTAACCACTGACAATATCCATGGTATGCTCAGAAAAGCATGTTGTGACATAATTTGTCACGCCAGTGAAAACCTATCCTCATATTGCCCACCTTTAAACAGAACATTTATAAGTAACAGGTACAAAAGCTAGAACTGAATACCCCCTTTTTATTGGTTTTCTATCAGCTACATTAAGCCGGATCAAACTTCAATCCTTTCATAGGCCATTCACATCCTGCTCTATTTACGTCACAGTCGTAGAGGTGGCATAAATGAACGTTATCAACTTGCAGCAGGCATGTTTTCACAAGTTAACAAGAGGTCTAAGTGGATAATGAACATCTGCCACTTCCAACATCTGTAATGCCACAGTTCGTACTGTGATGAAGCCTTTCAAAACACAATTAAAATAGGTCCACGTGTGTTCAAAGCCTAGAAAAAGCCTGCAAAAAAGATCTAGCATGAGCAACTCAAGACAGCATATCTGCAATGTTATAAAATGGTTAGATCACAGACTACTGTTCAAGTTTGGAATCACCTGGCATATTAACAGTTGTTTATTTATATACAATAATTAAATATGTTACTTAACGTTAATTAAAATATTACTGATTATTTGCAAAAACATTTTATTCAATATTTCAAGAATTCTGTGAAAAACAACTGTATACAATGATAAATAATATACTGTAATTATCTACTTACAGTTATCTGTCTTGGGAAATATCAATTTTATTTTTTTATTTTATTTCTTCAACTTTATTGTAAATATTGTTGTGGCGTGCGCCTGTCCATTATTATTTTACTGCACCAACTTAAAGAAACTAAACAAAAAAAGTTCAGTGTGTCACAATATGCACATGCTAAAAGGTTATATAATCATTTTAATGTAGCATTTTTAAGTGTGTGTCAGCTTAGAAGATGTTACCTACAATACCATGCAAAAGTTAGAGACCACTCATCATTTATTTAATTTCAAAAGCCGCCACTAAGTTCAAGTTAGTTTTCAATATGAGGAAAAAAGCAGAAAACATTCATTTAACAGAAAATTACACAGAAATCTCAATCTAATAGTATTTAGAACTTATTCGCAGTATTTAGTGTGTCCACCCTTCACCTTTACTACAGCTTCTATTCTTTTCAGTAGACTTGTTTTCAGTTTTTCACAGAAATCTGCAGGGATATTTCTCCAAAGTTCAGCCCGGCAAGAGTTTCTGAAAAGCTACACATCCTTTCAGACTCATAGTGCTGAGTTGTCTTCTCACAGTGGAAGGATGGACAGAAACACCTGTGAATTTTTTCAGATCTGAAGGAAAAGTGGAGCTTGATTTTCTCTCTTTATTTCTCAAAGATGAAAGCTTTAAGTACTGTTTATCTGTTTTTCTGACAGTTTTGGTGGTCTAACAGGTCTGTTGTCTGTCTATTTTAAAAATCTTCTGAGCTCCAGTTTTGGACTTTTTTCATTTATTTTCCTTTGACTTTTCTCTTCCTTATGCAAGTGTATTATGGTATATCTCCTCAAAAATCTGCTGAGATCATCGCTGTCCAAAGAAAACCATGTATCTCCATTTTTGTTGATTTTTATTGTTCTAGCCCAATAGAAATGCTCTAAAATCACTTGGAATAAAATCTCTGTACATTAACTCACACTGAAAGGTAAGAGTGTTTTTGCCTTCTCCTGTAAAGTTGCTATGGAGATACTTGTTTTTCTTTGGACAGCGACGATTTGGCTCCACTTACCATATAGGTGTACGTGTTAGTGTGTGTTGTGCTGGTACAAGTGGATCAGACACAGCAGTGTTGCTGACATTTCTAAACACGGTGTCCACTCACTGTCCACTCTGTTAGATACACCTACCTTGTTGGTCCTCCTTGTAGATGTAAAGTTAGAGACAATATCTGTGTTGGTGCACTATTCTCAGTCCAGCAGTAACACAAACTCCAGCAGCGCTGCTGGGTAAGATCCAGCACAACACACACACCACCACGTCAGTCTGACTGCACCAGCACAACACACACACCACCACGTCAGTCTGACTGCAGTGCTGAGAATGATCCACCGGCTCTGTGGTGGTCCTGTGGGGGTCGTGATTACTGAACATCAGGGCAAAGGGGCGCTAACAAAGTATGCAGAGAAACCGACTACAGAGTGCACCTATAATGTAAGCGGGGCTGAAAAAAATGGACAATGACAGTAGCTGCAAGGAGGTGTGCTTAATGAAGTGGGCGGTCAGTGTTTGTGTGTGTGGATAAGATAAAATCCTGATATTAAACCATTGTGTAGCATGGCTCAGTGCAATACGAAAACAAGGGCATTACTTGTACAAGTAACAGTAAGACTAATAAGTAACACTGCATAGCTCTCACTCAGCTCTGTATAGAAGATAATATCATCATTTTATTGAGTACATAAACACTCCCTTAAAAAAGGCAAAGCTTCCAAATACTACAAACAGAAATAAACGCCAATGTAACAAATACTTAAGTACTTGAGAAAAGCCTTTTATCAGATGATATTATTTTACAAGTTAAAAATTGAACAGACCCCAATAATTTTAGTTAAACAGTCTTTCACTGACTAGTATGATTGTCAGTTGTCAACAGTGAATGGTGAAATGTAAAAGTTTTCAATCTTACAATTTCTTGTTAAATAACATAAATATCATACTGCTGGGGTGGAGCCTCCCAGCATTCTAAGGTGGTTTTGGCATTTCTGTTAATTCTTATATTTCTTATTTTTCATCAGTTTTCTCCAGATTCAGCAGCAAAGTAGCAGTGTTTCATCAGCAGGATATTTGCAGATACCAAAAAATCTGTGGAACTTTGTTATATCAGTCATCCAATATACTGAATTCATAGCTTTGAAACTGTGCAGGGCAACCAGTATCCAGAAGTAGGGCTGGTCAGTACTCATTTAAGTCAATGTACAGTGTTATTGCTGCAGTACCTTCCAGTGGGACTGCATTGGGGCAGTAGAAATGCAGCAATGCAGCCAGGGCACAGCCGTCTGTGTTGTCTTTCAGTAGATTATCCACCAGGGGGAGACAGAGTGCAGACTGTGCCTTAGAATCCTCCCTCTTGTACCGTGTCTGTGTGGGCCACAAAACATTATGCTTACTACGGTAAAAAAGCAATATACGTAAACAGACAAACATAGTGGACAGAGGATCCAGCATTTAAAACACACAGCCACATACATACACACACACACACACACATCTGTGCAGCAAAGCAGGGAATTATTCATTTACTTTGGGAAGGAATCAGAATGGCAAAGATTTGAAGGAATACAGAAAGAGACAACCAGCAGTTCCCAGTCCAAGAGTATTACTGCCTATTACTGTGTTTCCAAGATTCAGCACATCTGATTCAACTGTACAGCTCATTAACCGGCCACTTCTTTGGTTCGTGTCCTCGGATTCTTTAAAACTTTTTTCTTGAATCTGCAGCCTCGGGCTCCTCCGGCCGCTTCTTCGAAACCTATTCGAACACGGAGTGGTTTGATGAGTCTCTTCTAACTTTTCGGTGCAGAAACATCAGACCAAATGTTTATGAGCCTCAGCAGCGGGAAATGATGACGAATGTCGAGTTGGTCTGAGGTAAAAGTCGCACGAATTCCGATCTGGCTGTTCAGACCGAGTCACATTGCCGCAGATCGGATATGTATCGGATTTCAGTACCACATATGAAAGCGACTCAAATCGGAATTGAAAATGTCAGATTCAGTGAGTTTTTTGCTGTTCACACTGCCACAGAGATGACACATCTGTGTCACATTTGAGGAAAAAGATCGGATTTGGGCCACTTTTACCTGTTGTGTAAACGTAGCCTTAGAGCAGGAAAAAAGGCCTAGCAATGGTTGAGGCCTAGCAATAAGAAAAGCTGGGCATAACAACAGAGGTCATGGGTTTGATCTTAGCTTATGGCTATTGTCACAGTTCCTTTCAGCAAAGGATATAATACAGTGGTGTTCAATCCTATCCGCAAAGGACAGGTGTGGCTGCAGGTTTTCATTCCAAACAAGTTAGAGCACAGTCAATTCTACTGGTTAAATGAGTTGGTTCTCAGTGTTCAAACAACTGATCATGTGTGTTCCTGCCTTGTTACTTTATGCAAGAAGTACATCAACAGAATACTGCCACTTCTCATTACAGTGAATACTACACATCAATTATTCCTTATCTGTTGATCAAAATATTTTATTTTTCTGTTTTTCTTCTGTCTTTTGAGATAATAGATTTGTAAGGGATTTAAACTAAATTCTGAATGTAAGCAGAAAAATAATGTCTTACTTGTTATTCACACTTGTCCTGACATTCTGAGATGTCAATTATTTTTGCTTCTTGTGCATGATACATGGTGTCTGTGTTGACCATGCACCAGGGTTCCTCAACTAGGGAGTACTTTTAATTTACTAGTTTACTATCTATTTGTAACATTTGTTTTCTTGCTGTGGCTCCACTCCTAATGTTACCAGTTAATAACATTATTTTTTCATTAGTCCACACCTTAACAACATTTGAAACAGCTCTTTATTTACCCTACAAAGTTCACAACCTCTGAATGCTTTTGCGTACACTCCCATATGATTTTGTATCATGCCATCATGCGAGAAACCATTTAGCCAGCTAGTATGTCCATCCATTTTAAACAGAGAATTTGTTATGACTTATTTTGATTTTCCTTCACTAAATCATTCTAATTTAATACCTCTATGTTGGAGAAATTTACTGATTCACGAACAGTAAAAATGTATAGCCTGTGTGGGAACATGTCCTTATCAATACAAACACTGGGTCTAATAGCTTTCCAACTGTACTATTTTGTTGTATATATGAAAGGAACAAAATTAGCCACTTGTGACAATGCGTGCTTCCTGTACCAGGTGACTGTGCAAATTCAATTGTGTGCAGATTAGGAACAAGATCTGTGCTCATACTGAGGTGTTTTCTTTGCTGTTCTTACAGTGACAATGGTCTATAGTTTGAAACAACCTGTTGAAGCACCTAATAACCCTAACATAAAACTGATGGACAGATCCCTGTGCTAAACAATGAAGAGCCCCAATCAGAGTTAAACAGATTCAAGTTTTCATTCAGGAACAGCTCTGTAAGATTTACATTTTATTCACAAAAATTTTGTTTTAAGGTAGTTTTTTAGACCATTTTTACTGGCTAATTTCTTGGTTTTCAAGCAGCATCAGCCATTCATAATTTTATTCAATCATAACTTGCTGTGTCTTGTTCAAAGGCAGGGATCATCACAGGCCTTTTAAATGATGCATACTGTAACTGTCTGTAATTGTTTCTAAATAGAGTACTGAAAAGGAAGTAATGAGAAAGGAATATTTCTTTTAACAGAAAATAATTATGTCATCACAGTTTGAGAGAAGCACTTTGTTTGTACAGTTTAGGACTGTATTACTACCCAAACACAGAAAAGAACAGACGTCTGGCTGAGCCTTTGAAACATCTTAAAAAGAAGTACCCAAAGACAGAATTGTGTGTGCCTGATTTGTCTGTCTTTGGACAATTCTGAAATTCATGCAGCCCTCACAACAGAGACTAGCAGGGTATGATCTTTATCTTTTCAGTTCTTGATGAACTATGAACATTTTCAGCTCAGGTGTATACGTAGGTGAAAGACCCTAATCCTTTGTATTTCTGTTCTACATTGATAAAATACATGCAATGTATAATAATTGAGTGTTTCGGCTTCCTAATCGATTAAAAACTGCTATGAATGACAGCGGTCATATAGTGTTTCCCTACTCTAAAATACGTTCTTCTACTCACTAAGCTAAAGCATTTTTATGCATTTTTTAGGTACATGTCAATACATTTTATGAAATGAGGGAAGGTGTGGCTGTTTCAATTCCAGTGATGACAGTGCAGTTAAGAGCAATGCACATAACAAGGTTGTTCAACGTTAATTGTTAAAAACATATATAACTTTATTTGTCAATTTTAGCCCATAAAACAATTCAATCCAAATCACAGCTGGATCTGACCGGACCTGAAGTCAGCCATGTCAGTTACAGGCAAGCTATAAAGCACTCACTTCTAAACTTGCATGAATAAATACAGATACCACTGGACTTTCTGAAGAGCTCATACATGAGAGAGAGAACACAGAACAGATACAGGGAAATGCAAAAATGCATTTAGTGTTTGCTTTAAGATCTTTAAAAACAATTGTCAAAAAGCAAAAAATTAATTGATTAACATGCATTTCTCTGGTTTAAATTTTAAAATCCTAACCCGCTTATGCCCAATTCCCCAAAGTATGCCAAATGTAATGACGCCTAGTGTTACAAATTCTGGAAATTCATCTATCAAAATGTTAGTCGAGCGGAAGCAAGCAAATTTAAGCTGTTTTTTAACTAGACACCTCAGTTAGTACCATGAATTAAGGGAAGGATTAATTTCAAAGAAATGGATCCCTAATCACTTATTATTATTGCACTACACAGTAGGCAGCCATTGATCCCGGGAGATCATGGGTTTGCACCCCTGGTGGAATGATTCAAACAGCGTCCGCTATGGCTGTCTAATCCAATACGTAAGTGACAGTGTTCCACCTGAAATGGTGCATCAGTTACATTCTAGTGCCTCAGACCACTGAGCCAATCAGGCACCATTTAAGGTGGAACTCCTTTACTGCTGTTTTATCTCTATTTCTTATTTGAACTTTTATTTGTTTTATTTTCTTCATTTACTCTGTTCATTTAGTCTTGCTGTTTTTAGTTTAATTGTAACTTATCTTTCAATCCCTGTTTAATTTGCTTGGTATAAATGAAGGTCACCCTCAATGTACTTCCAAATTGAAATAAAGGTTGACTGATTGACGGAAGATGGTCTCATACCTGGCAAAATCTTTCTTCACCTCCGGTTTCCAGATACACCTGTCTGAGGTGAGAAATTCGCATTGATGGAGAGGGCCTTAAGGTCACGCTTGAAGATGTCCTTGTAACATAAATAGCGTTGTCCAATTTGTCTCTTTCAAGACGCCAGCTCTCCAAAGAGGAGGACTTTCAGTATCAGGCCATCTGTAAAGTGTGTGACATGGCCCAGCCAGCACATATGCCTCTGTTCGAGGAAGGTGAACGTGGAGTGGAGATGGTGGGGGAACATCTCTATACCATCTCTATATCATCTCTATACTCTATACTATATATATATATATATATATATATATATAAATATATATATATATATATTTTTTTAAGTGTTTCTCCAGAGATTCATGAGTCTGATTTTCAGTGCCACTGTTAATGTTAGCAAATGTTCTTCTGTCCAACGCATAAAAATAAATGACTCACAATGTGCAAGCTAATGTAGTGTTTTTAAAATCACTCCGGAATTCCATTTTATGACAGCAAATAGAGATCCATTTCTGTCACAGCATTGGTTTGTATTTGTGTTTTTGTTTAAAGTCTGTAAATAATGAAAGATTATTTTATGCGACACCGTGCCCCTTTAGCTATGTTGAACTTTTGAATATTCTGTATGTTAAACCATACTGTCAATCTGTGTTTTCTTTTCTGCAGGGAAATAAGTGCCTGTGCTGAACTGTTGATGCAAAAAGATAAAGTATAATGTAAACTATAAAAGCAACATTGAGGCTTTTGTTTTCTCACATATCTGCTTGATACTAAATACCTATTATGACTGGACGAGCAAGAAAAAGGTAGACACTTACTATGACCTAAGGACAGAAAATCATTGGGGATGCAGAGAGGAAGAGGATGTGAAGAGGTCACATAAGACATTTGGGTGGATATGACACTCAAGATGTCAGTAGAGTGATCTTTATCATTCTCTTTAGTTATATTAATTTTAGTCAATATTTGAACAAATTTCACTAAATAGGAAGATGTATGACTGAAGTACTGAAAGTACTGAAAGTTAACTGGTTTAATTAAAATGTTAATGTTTGTTATATTGTAGGATATATTGTTCTGGAAAGAAAGCAGTCATCTAAGGTAGGGCTATTATGACCAGTTTATTTCTAATATAGTTGCTACAGTTACCAAAATGGGGTTGTCTAAGAGGCTGTGTCAACTATTTCACTAGCCACTCCCTAAAAATTCTACCTGGGCAGTTCTTAACTCACAGCATATAAAGTGCATGGTCAATGAATATGATGCACAGCCAGTGGACATACAGTCAGCCACCTCAACAACAAGCTTTGTAATTATCACTTTAATTAAACTCAGATTCATCTGAATCACCCAAAAAGCTAATATCTGAGTGAGAGAACACAGTTTAATCAACACAGGTAAGATTTTCAGTCATTTTCTACTTTAAGCTTTCATTTAAACCCTGAATACCTCCTCAAGATAGGCCAAATATTATTATATTTGTTGTTTCAAATACCAGAAGTTTATTGACCAAAAGGGTAGCTAAAATTTTGTCTTCTAAACAATGAAGAAAGATGCAACATGCAAAGGCAGCATTAATCATTTCCTTAAACATTAATTCATGTTGTTAAAACCATGAATTGCACTCATTCATTTCAAATGTGTCTTTGTATTTACTGTGCAGATGTTATGTAAGCCTTACTCTGTGTCAGCGGTTCTCAACTCCAGTGCTTACGTATTCCCTGCCAAAACATACCTGATCCAGCTCATTAGATAACTGTCATGCCATTTCCGAGTTGGATCAGTTATATCACATCAAAATGTCCAGAGAATTCTTGAAACTGTGGAATTAAGAAACACTGTTCTATGTGATACTCACATTTATTTATACTGAGCTTCAGAATATTTTCTACGTAAAAACCACACTGTCAACAGTGTTGATTTGACTTTGTGTTTCTGTGTTTGACTTACTCTTGTCATCTGATTTATGCATTGATTTAAGATCAGTGCACAGCACAAAACAGAGCCACACATCATTCATACTGTACCTGTACCTGTTAAGACTAGTGGAGCAAGTAAAAGACAAACTGCCAATTCAACTGTAGAATAGAATTAAACAATAGATTGTTATTGTTTAACAATAGATTGTTAATAGAATTTAACAATGACGTAGTAAACCTACATTGTGCCACACAGAATGGTCAGAATGACAACTACATGTGCTTTCAGACCACTTTTAGTTGTCCCAGGTTTTACATTGTCCTCCCTTTTGATAATTTTTTTTTACATTGTCCTCCCTTTTGATTTTGATTTTTTACATTTTTTTTTACATTGTCCTCCCTTTTGATTTTGATTTTTTACATTTTTTTTTACATTGTCCTCCCTTTTGATTTTGATTTTTTACATTTTCATCTATAAATGCAGATGCACCTGGACTAAGGAGTTCATGCTTAAATGACAGAATACAGTTAAAGGAGCAACAGGAGGTAAGATTTTCCTGCTGAACTGTTTCCTGTTTACAGCTTGTTCATGTGTTACTCTTAACTCTTAAGTATTCAGTACAAAACATTTTACATATATATATATAATTCAGAATCTTGACATCTTGAATCTTTTCCACATACAATTTTAGAAAGTTTTCAGTTGTGACTCTTATTGGACATATTATACATATTATACGTTCTTAAGTAAAATCCATATTTGTAGTAGTTTCTTAGAGAAGAGCAAATGTAGTGGGCCAAACTTAATCTTTAAGTCTTTAATTTTAATTGTTGCACAAATTTATTCAACACGATGTAAATTATAACCCTACTTGTTTAGCGCAGAGCTATTATGAATTTGTTATTCAAATGCAGTTGCTATAGCAAGCAGGGTGCGTTTGTCAAGGAAGTGGTATGTTTAAACTGACATAAAAGAACAGGTTGGACAAGTAAGGCACGTCCAGGTGTGTCACAAACACACAAACACTGAAAAAATTAGGCATGCTCAAATGATCAAACTATAAAGATCACTTGTGCAATCATATTATGATGACTTGGGTTACATCCAGAGGTAGACCCGCAAGCCCACAGAAATTGTGCTAAAATTAAAAACTTGTGGCCAGAATTTACAATTAACAAGTATGATTTAGTCTGACTTATTAAACAAAATGCAAAAAGGCAAAAGAAATCTAGAAGGCACTTGAGCCACAATCTCTCCAATTTTTTTGGCCAAAATGTGAAATATTGTGGCCAGGGGCACTGGCCTATAGGCACTGTCAACCTCTGGTTATAACACTAACATTTTCCTTGCTGACCTCTTGGTCACTGGTAAATTGCCTGATATATTACCATAAATATAATGATTGTTACTTTGATTATATGATTCCATATAATCAAAGTAACAGTCTTTAAATTGAAATTTAGATGAAAAACAAGAAGCTTTTCTCTAATTTGTGATATAACGGCTTCTTTTATGTTTATGACATTAGTATGTTTTTTTTACGAACTCAGTATATTCATACATCCTTCTCTTCTACTCACTGATGAAGCCTTACCACAGATACTAATAGGACTAGTAATCGGCAGGTGGTGAATCGATCAGAAACATGGTGTACTAACAACGACCTCCTGCTTAATACATCAAAAACAGTGGGGATCATTGTTGATTATATGAAAAAAAAAAGAATGTAAAAACAGTGCAGGTTTTGAGATGATCAACATCTGTTGTAAATTCTTTCAAGTTTTTGCGAACTCACATTAGCAATTCTTTGAAGTGAAGCATTAATTCTGATCATATCTTTCAAAAATCTTAACAAAAGTTGCTCTTTTTGAGACAATTTAAAAAAACGCAAAGTACGAAGAGATCTATTGATTAAATTTTATTCATCCATTATCGACTGTGTTCTTGTGTCATCTATTACAGTTGGGTATGGAAATATAGATTTCCAAATAATAATGATAATAATAATATATTGCAAGGTACTGTCGGTAATGCTTCAAAAATAACTGGAACATCACTTCCTTCAGTTGACTCCATTTATACTCAGCACACTCTTAAGCAAGCAAAGAGAATAATTACAGATTTCTCTCATGCAGCATACAATCTTGCGCATTTGTGTGCCTTTTTGGGCAATCATATTATGATGACTTGGGTTGCACCCATATGTAGACCTGAAAGCCCATAAAGGTGCTAAAATTAAAAACTTGTGGCCAGAATAATGTGTTTATCAAATATACATCGTATTTACAATTAATAAGCATGATTTATTCTGACTTACTGAAACAAAATGCAAAAAAGGCAAAAGAAATCTTCAAAGCCAGAGGGCACTTCAGCCACATTATCGACATTTTTAGTGGCCAAAATGTAAAATGTTGTGGCCAAGGGCAATAGGCACTGTCCACCTCTGGATACAATATTAACATTTACTTTGCTGACCTTCTGGTCACTTGTAAATTACCTGGTATATTATCATAACAGATTCCATATAATCAAAGTAACAGTCTTTAAATTAAAATTTAGATGAAAAACAAAAAGCTTCTCTAATAATTTGTGATATAAGGGCTTCTTTTATGTTTATGACATCAGTATATATTTATACATCCTTCTCTTCTAGTCACTGATGAGGCTTCTGTTTGACAGATGTACTTTTTCAACAGCCACTATTACTATGGTGCTGTAAACCTGCGTATCTCACACAAAGCAGTAACTGTACTGGTGACTATTTGGTATCATTCTTTCATGAATCAAGCACAGTCTTGTAAGTGCATGAACAAATACTCACCTTCAGACCTGCAGGTTTGGTCTCAAGCGCATTCCTTGCTGTCTGCTCTTGAGCCATAATCTCTCTTAAGTATTCATTGACCTGCATTAAAACACATCCACACACATGCCACATAGTGAGATTTCCTCTAATCTAAACCAAATAATTAGATTGATTAGATAAACATTAATTCAAACATACTAAACTAAAATACTATTGGTCTGGAAATTAACTTTATTGATGCCAATACGAAGTCCAAAATTCAATGCACTAGCAGCCTTTTTGTGAACCTCTTACCAAAACAACCGATTATTTAGTGTAGTGAGGCAAGAACCGTGTCCTAATTTGTTCTGGCCCATTTACACCACTGACTATGCTGAACATAGATAAAGATGATAAACCTAGATAAAAATAGTAAAAGCTGAAATGAATGAAATTTGCTTATGACCTCACAGTAACGTCCTTTCTTCCAGATGACGTACATTGCTACAGACATGCTTTTGTATCATTATCTGTCTAAAAAAGATAAAAATCTTAATTTGCTGATATGCAGTGCATGGTAGCAGCTAGCTGATGTTGACTAATCATAAGAGTATTTCATAGCTAGCTAATGTCACTGGCTAGAGCTAATTTCTTAGTAATGTAAATAAAGTAACACATTGTTGCCAACTAAGTGTGTGTACTGCAGTCCACTATATTTCTTTAAAAAAAAACAAAATCAGCAGGATATCAAACAATAAATGTCAAATGTCAAACAAACATAATGTTGTGTGTTTGTTTAAATACAATCACATTTATAGTATATTTCAGTAATTTAAGAAAAAATCAAGCCAGAAGGAAAGAATTAAGTAAAATATCTACAGTAAAAAATCCCAGTCATTGTCTCATTTATTGGTTGCAAAAGACTAGTCTCTCCATCAATTTTTTAAGCACAAAAAACAATCTACCTAAGACCCCTTGCTGAATGAAAAATATATTGGTAATTTTACTCCTCTCACCTGTCTGAAATGTTTTTTTTCCAACTTCTAAAGATTTCCGATTTTTTTCTACTTATGAAGATTTCCTATATGTTGTGTTACATCCGATTGTGATGTACTGCAATCCATTACTTCTGAATGCAAATTATTCAGCCAAAAGAAACTGTTTTATTTACTGAAGTTTACACTTCGTTCTTCTCACTTCAATCTTTTCCTCAAAGCAAAAAAATGTGACGTACACTGAAAAAGTATTTCTTTTATTTTTGCATTTTTGTCACACTTGAATGTTTCGGATCATCAAACTACTTTTAATCTTAGACAAAGATAACCCATGTAAACATAAAATGCTGTTTTTAAATAATGATTTCATTTATTGAAGGAAAAATGTTGTTCAGCCTTACCTGGGCCTATGTGAAAAAGTAACTGCACCATTAGCTACTAAATCAGCTAGTTAACCAAATTCAGTTGACTACTCAGTTGACACCCAGACCTGATTACTGACAGACCTGTTGAATCTAAACATCACTTAAATAGAACCTGTCTGGCAATGTGAAGCAGGCTAGAAGGTCTCAAAAAGCAGCACATGATGCATCATTCTAAAGAAATTCAAATACAGATGTAAAACAAATTCATTCAAATCTACCAAGCAGGAAAGGGTTACAAAGCCACTGCTATGGCTCTGAGACTCCAGTGAACCACAGTGAGAGCCATTATCCTGAGAAAACTCAGAACAGCAGCAAACCTTCTCAGGAGTGGCCAGCCTACCAGAAGTTCACCAAGAGCACATCGATTACTTATCCAGGAGGTCACAAAAGAACTCAGATGAACATCTAAAGAACTGTAGGCCTCACTTGCCTCAGTTAAGGTCAATGTACATGATACCACAATAAGAAAGACACTAGGCAAAAACGGCATCCATAGGAGAGTTACAAGGCGCAAAGCACTGCTGACCAAAAAGAACACACAGGCTCATCTCATCTGCCAAAAAATATCTAGATGAGCCCCAAGACTTTTGAGATAATATTCTGTGGACTGATGATTTAAACGTGGAATATTTTGGAAGACATGGGTACTGTTACATCTGGCGTAAATGTAACACTTTTTTCCACCATAAATATATCATTCCAACAGTCAAACATGGTGGTGGTAGCATGATGGTTTAGAGCTGCTTTGCTTCTGCAAGACCTGGATGGTCTGAACTGTGGATTCTGCTCTCTATCAGAAAATCCTGAAGAAGAATGTCTACCCATCAGTTTGTGAACTAAAGCTCTGTTAGGTTATACAGCAGGACAATGACCTGAAGCACGCAAGCAGGTCCACCTCTGAATGGCTCAAAAGAAACAAAATTAAGGTTTCGGAGTGGCCAAGTCAAAGTCCTGACCTGAATCCCATTCAGATGCAGTGGCAAGACCTTAAAAAGGTCAAAATGCCTCCACAGCGATGTAAAAGACTCATCACAAGTTATCACAAACATTTGATTGCAGTTGTCACTGCCAAGAGTGGCAGAACCAGTTATTAGATTTAGGGGGCAATTACTTTTTCACATGGGTGATATAGATTTGAATTTTTTTTTTTATCTTCAATAAATGTAATGATTTTTTAAAAGCTGCATTTTGTGTTTACTTGTGTTGTCTTTATCTTTTATTAAAAATAGTTGGATGATCTAAATATTTAAATGTGACAAATTAACAAAAATAGAAGAAATCAGGTGAGGGGCAAACACTTTTTCACAGCAATGTATACTTTCAAAAAACTTTGTCCTTATATTTAGATATTCATCAGGTGCTCTTATTTATATAGCAGGCAAAATAAATATGGATAATTATATATATATTAAGATATATTTATCTTGGGACCATGTGGGCCCACCACCCACAAGGTCCAGCATGAGGGGACCGGTGCAGTGCCGTATAGGCTGTGGGAGATGACAGGGAGGCCCTTGGCGGCATAGACCCCTGCGGCGGAAACTGGCTCTTGGTACATGGAATGTAACCTCATTGAGGTCCCCCGGAGGAGCCGGAGCTTGTGTGGGAGATTGAGATGTACCAACTAGATATAGTTGGGCTCACCGCCACCTATAGTGTCAGCTCTGGAACCAAACTCCTTGATAGGGATTGGTCCCTCTCCTACTCAGGAGTTGTACAGGGTGACAGGCGCCGGGTGAGTGTGGAGATACTCACGAGTCCCCAGCTGGCTGCCGTGTAGCTGGAGTTTGTCCCGGTGGACAAGAGGGTCGTCTCAATGAGAATTTAAATCGCAGAGTGGAAAACTTTGACTGTTGTGTGTGCTTATGCACCAAACAACAGGTCGGAGTATTCAGCCTTCTTGGAGTGAGCGGGCAGGGTTCTGGAAAGGGCCCCGCCTACAGACTCCATAGTCTTGCTGGGAGACTTCAATACTTGTGTTGGCAATGACTGGGAGACCTGGAGAAGTCTGATTGGGAAGAACGGCCTGCCTGATCTACACTCGTACCAGAGCTCCTTGGGTTCAATGATCGACTTTGTCGTTTCATCTGATTGGGACCATATGTTCTGGACACTCGGGGGAAGAGAGGTGCTAAGCTGTCAACCGATCACCGTCTGGTGGTGAGTTGGATCAGATGGCAGGGAAGACTGATGGTCAGACCAGGTAGGCCCAAACAAATAGTGAGGATGTCTTGGGAACGACTGTCAGAGGCCCTTGTTCGGAATGATTGTAACTCCGAAGTCCGGGAGAGCTTTTCTCATGTTCCAGAGGAGGTAGGGGACATGGAGTCTGAATGGACCCTGTTCAAATCCTACACTGTGGAAGCTGCCAGGCATAGCTGTGGCCAAAAGCTTGTTGGTGCCTGTCAGGCCGGTAACCCAAGAACCCCCTGGTGGACACCAGTGGCGAGGAAGGCCATCAAGCTGAAGAAAGAGGCCTTTAGGGACTGGATGGCCTGGAGGACTCCCGACTCAGCAGACAGGTACCAACAGGCAAAAAAGGCGGCAGCGGCAATGGTGGCAGAAGCAAAAGCAAGGGCGCGGGAGGAGTTCAGCGAGGACATGGAAAAAGACTTTCGGTTGGCCTCAGTGAGGTCCTGGACAACTGTCCGGTGACTCAGGAGCAGTCGGGGTGGCTTCGCCCAAGCTGTATTCGGCGGGGGTGGAGAAACTCTGACTTCAAATGAGGATATTGTTGGTCAGTGGAAGGAGCACTTTGAGGAACTGGACTGGCAGACCGGGGTGGTGGTCCCTATTTTTAAAAAAGGGGACCGGAGGGTGTATGCCAACTACCGGTAGTTGAACCTCAGATTGAGGAGGAACAATGCAGATTTCGTCCCGGTCTTGGAACAATGGACCAGCTTTTCACCCTCTCACAGATTCTTGGGGGGGCTTGGGAGTTTGCCAACCCAGTCTACATATGTTTCCTGGACTTGGAGAAGGCTTACAACCCCGTTCCCCAAGATATCTTGTGGGAGGTCCTCCGGGACTACTACTCTGGGTCATTCAATCTCTGCACTCCCGGAGTGAGAGTTCTGTTCATATACTCAGCATTAAGTCAGGCTCGTTCAGTGTTAGCGTTGGATTCTGCCAAGGTCGTGCCTTGTCTCCACTCCTGTTCATGATATCCATGGACAGGGTGTCAAGGCATACCTGAGGTCAGGAGGGCATTATGTGTGGAGGCCGGAGGGTGGCGTCTCTGCTACTTGCAGAAGATGTTGTTCTTTTGGCTGGCTCGCATGGATGCCTCCAGCGCTCAATGGAGCGGAGTGTGAAGCTGTTGGTATGCGGATCAGCACCTCCAAGTCTGAGTCCATGGTCCTAGCCCGGAAAAAGGTAAGGGGAAAAGACCAGGTAAGGGGAAAAGACCTGCCCCAGGTGGAGGAGTTTAAGTATCTCGGGGTTCTGTTCACGAGTGATGGGAAGAGGGATCGTGAGATCGGTCGCAAGCTGGGACAGGCAGCAGTATTAATGCGGTCACTGTACCGGATTGTAGTGGTGAAGAGGGAGCTTAGCCATAAGGCAGCTGGGACGAGACCCCTGGGTCGTCCTAGGAACCACCAGAGGGATTATATCTCCAAGTTGGCCTGGGAGTGGCTTGGGCTCCCCCGGAATGAGCTGGAGGAAGTTGCAGGGGACAGGGTCATCTGGGATTCTCTTCTCTCCCAACTGCTACTGCGACCCTGTCTGGATTAAGCGGTTAATGACGATGATGATAATGATATTTATCTTTACTTGTTATACAAATGCCTGTTTCAAGAGCAATTTGCAATTGCAAATGAAAGTAATGACTCTTATTGGTATGTTAATGCAGGGTTTCTGATTCCTGCCTGAATATGCCAGATCAACCCCCACTCTCCCTGTGCAAGGTAAGCATGTAATCCACTACACTATCAAAATGTTCCTAACAATAACTCCTCTGACAGAAACCTTGTTCGCACCAGAAAGAAACAGTGCCATTTTGTGGATTAAGACAAAAATGCATTTCTTTGCATAATCTATTTGTCTAACAGTGTAAATTTTGATATGTTCTATTTCTAATAATTAAAACTATTTTAAAAATAATACTGTATTTCTTCTCTCACCTTTATTATACGTTACACAGTTCAAATGGCATGGAATAATGCAAATATACAGGTTGTGTTACATTTTAAATAACCTTACAGTATATCCTAGTATGGAACAATTTCAACCATAAGTTTGTGGGACTGTAATCTTGAAACCAATCTAAATTCTATTAAATTTCTTTTGCACAGTTATTTCTGCATCCAAAGAAAAATATTTTCTTAACTATTATTCCGTATTTATTCTTGCAGTTAAATTCTGGTAGGAAGTCACAGATAATCCTGTAATTTACATTGCTCTTTGGACAATGAGCCACAAAATGAAAGTTCCTCCTAGAGTTGAGGAATGGACAAAAGAGCATGTTCGCCAATGGCTGGCTGAAGAACTGAAGATAGACCAAACATGGACTGACAAACTGCATGAAGAGGAAGTATCAGGAAAAGAACTAATTTGCTTTAAACCAAGAGATTTACGCGAACTAGGCATTAAACATGGTCCAGCAGTTAGAATCATTAACACATTAGAGGCATTAATAAAGTCTCATGAAAATGTGTCAGATTCTGATATGCATATAGACATCTCCCAAACACAATCACATTCAGAGCCTCTTGGAAGAACAGAGCATACTGAGGGAAAACCAGACATGTTATCAAATGATGACATGTCAGTCCATGTACCACAACCAACACAAAAACCTAAGAAATCAAAAAAAAAATCTAAGAAAAAATGTTTATCCAATCCTGACATTTGCAAGATTCCTGCACCCAAAAGCCCAAACGAAGCATCTTCTAGAAATACACTTACTGAAAGAACAGAATTACAAGTGGAAGCAACCATCTGTGACTTGACTGAAAGTGAACCAACAGAAATGTCCACAGTACTCCCCTCAGAAATGGAGGAAAAAGTAAGTAAACCAGAAGCATCCTCCAAAAATGTGCCTGATCAAGTTACACAGAAAGAATCTGTAGGACCGGAAGACCTTAAAACACAAGTTACAAACACAAAACGCTTGTGCAGTTTCTATCCATTTGACCAGCGGTCTGTCTCTCACAGATATATTGAAAACTACAGTTTACCACCAGAGTCAGGACCAAGTAATCTAATTGACCCAGTACATGAATACAAGTTTTTGGGAAGAGCAGAAGATATTAATATAATGAAGAAAAAAATCAACAAAGAGGTTTTTCGGTTTGCAGCAGGATGCATGAATGGGAGGACAAATGGAACCATCCACTTCGGGGTAGCAGATTCCAAAGACTCTGTGTATTGCCATGGTGAGATTGTTGGGGTTAGTGTCGATAAAACTGATACAATCATCGACCACTTTAATCAGGGCATCAAACCATACTTTGAAGACAATGCTGATGTTGCAAAAAGGTGCATCAGACAACCCCGCTTTGTGGAAGTATTGAGCAGTGACAGCACCTCATCTAGCAAATATGTTATAGAGGTGGACGTTGTCCCAAGTCACAGTATAGTTCAGGGTAAAATATATTATACCCAGACTCTGGATGAAGATAATGAATGGAGGAAAAGCAAAGGAAAATCACTGTTTATTAGGGATGGAGCAGCAACCAGAGACATATGTAAAATCGGGAACCCCAGAGATTTGCAATTTGAATTAGCTAAAGTGACTACAGACCTGAATGTTCTAGACACAATGAGAAAGGAGGCAGAAAAGAAGCCTGAAAGCAAAAGAAAATTAAATCAGGGAGAAAAATTACAGAATCTGTTGACATGTGGAGGTGGTACTCTTGATCACTACGATTACTACATAATTGTAATGAACAAAAGCCACTCCGACCAACTGCAAAATCTAAAGTTTCTGACTGCACTGAAATTATTCTGTGTGTTAGACTTCGATCCAGATTCAGTGAAAAATGGATCCTGTCACAGCTACAGAAAAAACAGAATTGCAAATCTTCACAGCCCAGGACAGTTTCATGGGGATCCAGGAACGTTAATACAAAAACTAAACCTGTACAAACAAACCAGCTGGGTGTTGTGCAATGGAAGAGTGGACATTGATAAGGAATCTGATAAACCACTGCCTCCTAGTGAGTGGTTAATACACAGAGCTGGTGAAGTGCAGGACATGATTTCCTTCCTCTGCCATCCAGATACTCTTCCAAGAGGGAGATTCTTGGTCATCTTCCTCCTTCTCTCTGTTGTTGAAGCCATGAATGATCCAATTTTTGACACTTTCATGTCATTTTACAAGAATCTCGGAGGAACACAGAACATCATAAGCATATGCACACAGGACAATGCTTTTCAGAAATGGAAAGACTTCATCCAAATCAGAACAGAACTTGACATCAATGGTCAAAGCATCTATGAATTAGAACTCAGTGAAATCAATGGAACTATACTTGAAAAACAGAATCAGACAACAGACAGACTGCTACCTTCTGTTGATGGAAGCTCAGTGGTTCTAACACAGATAGATGAGGATTCAATGCCCGCTCTGGAAATTCTGTGCCAGAACCAGTGTGAAAATGAGTATGAAGAGGACACTGAAGAATTCCAAGACTTTAAACTCAAAAAAGAGGCAGAGTTTTACCGGGGTGACAAGGTGGAATGGTGGAACTTCTACTTTTCAGACAAAACTCCGACAAAGCCTTTCATAAAACGTGACAAATATACCCAGGTCAGGAACATGATCAGATCCCAAACCAATGAACCCACAAGTAAATGTGTAATGGTGAATCTTTTTCACCACCCTGGATGTGGTGGCACAACTTTAGCCATGCATGTAATGTGGGATTCGAGAAAAGAATTCAGATGTGCTGTGTTAAGAGATAACACAATCTCAAAAACAGAAGTGGCACAACAAGTTAATTACCTCATAAAGTGCGGAAAAATTGAATGTTCACGTAAAACCCCAGTCTTGCTATTGGTGGAAGACTCAGAAGACACAGAGAACACACAAGAGCTGCAGCACTGCCTAAGGAAAACCATTAGTGAAATGGATGCTTTTGTCGTCATCTTGAATTGTGTACGTTCAAAAAATCCAAAAGAAAAATACAAAAACAGTGTAATTGACAGCCAGTACATCACTGCTGCTTTATCAAAGGATGAACAAAATGCTTTTGAAGTAAAGCTTAAAGAACTTCAAGAAAAACATGACAAACCTGAGAACTTCTACAGTTTTATGATCATGAAAAGTAACTTCAATCAGGAATATGTGGCAAATGTTGCAAATAACATCTTAAGAGATGTCGATGTTGGAAGCAGAGAAGCCCAACTTTTCTCTATCTTGGCATTACTTAACACATATGTGGCAGAATCATCCATCTCTTTGTCACTTTGTGAGGATTTCCTTGGCATTAAAAGGAGGCTCTGGGGGAAAGAATCTGTAATGAATAAAATGGAGCCTTATTCATGCTTGTTAATTGAGTTCCAAGTTGAAGAATGGGGAGTGTACAAAGCTATTCGCTTTGTTCATCAACGTATTGCAGCAGAGTGTGTCAAGGCATTAGAGGAAAGGCACAGCAGCCCAAGAGCTGACATAATCCTCAATATGCTACACACTGATCTGTTTTTTGAAAGAAGAATAGGCAAAGATAACCTACTGCAGTCACTGAAGAGCATGCTGATCACACGGCAACGCAAGACAGAAGGTGATGAGAAGGACACACTATTTTCACCTTTGATTGAAGACATAAAATCTGGAAATGATGGACCGAAAAAAATTCAACACATATTAACTGAAGCATCGAAGAGACTTGACAAAGACTTTACAATCCCTCAAGCTTTAGCAAGGCACTACTACCTGAATGAAAAAAACTTTGCCCTTGCAAAGGACTGGGCAAACAATGCTAAAATCATCAAAGAAAATTCGTACACTGTTGACACAGTTGGACAGATCTCACGAAATGAACTAAAACATAAAATGGATGGCAAAAAGCAAAAACTTTACACGTCTGATGATTTGAAAGAATTTCTTGAGCTAGCTAAAGCTGCAATAAAAGCTTTCCAAAGAGCTCAAATCTTGGCAAAGACAGATGATAATGCTGATACCGAGGAGAGACGTCACTGGAAGCAAAACACCTACAATATATCCGGACACATGAATGAGATTGACATTGCTATGACAGTCTTTGACATTGTGAGGAGGCTCCCATTATTTCTGGAGAAAGACACCATGAAAAATGAGTACATTAAGCAATTTTTTAAAGGAAAGATGCCACTGTCCTCAATTCCCATTGATAAAACTGATGCCAATCAGAAACTTGTTGCTGTTCTAAAAGACTATGAGCCATTCCTCATTTCCTTAAAGTCATGTGTGGACAAAGCTTTTGAATTCCTTGAAGGGTTCTTCACCTACACAAGAGAAAAAGGTGTGGTTGACAAAGAAAGGCAGAACAAAAACAGGAACTGGATCTCTGATCATTTTAAAAACTACATGTCTTTGTTCTGTTCATCATTTGAGGAAAAACTGAGTGAGAAAACATGTAAACCCAAACTTAGCTTAAACATGGAAATAGAAGAATGCAGGACGTTTCTTGAAGAAAACAGAGCAAACTACTTCCCAAGAATTCTCCAATTTTTGGAGGTCCGGAAAGAAATGATCGAACCAATTGCTAAAAAACACTCATTCATATACCAGAACTGTAAAGACAAATCTCTTCAGGACAAGGCAAATCATTTGCTCACACACATAATCCTGAAATTGATCCAACCAAAATCAAAACTGGCAAAATCCCAAAAAGAGCTGACTGATCTTTTAAAGGAAATTTTACAAGAAGCTGGGCTATCACATCAGTATCCAGAACCATACTACCTTGCACTGCTGTTGCTATGGCCTGGAAAGAAACATGCTGACAAATCAATAGCTACATATGTGGAAAAGATAAGAAACGCATCTCGAAAGCAACTTTCTCCCATCTTTAGAGCGAGAGCCCCAATTGCCCATTTATTTGTGGGAAAATCAGATGGATTAGACAGGTTAGTTTGCAAAACAGTCCTTGACGGTTGTGTCAGTGATGTTTCACGGCGAAATATTCTCTGGCAGAGCGGAGACATCTTCAAGGAAAAGGCAATTAAAGAGAAGCTCCTCAGAGTAAATGGCATTATTGAGCAAGGACAGCTGTACGCAGAGTATGGCAAACTACAGATCCCTGTCCGGCCTACTTACTTTGGTGGAATAAGAAGTGGGCACAGTACAGAGAAAATGTCCTTCTATGTAGGCTTTGCCATTGATGGACCGCTTGCTTATGACATTCAATATGAAGATAGCTAGATCATCAATATAGGGCTTGCCATCAATGGACCTTCTTGATGGAAGACACCTAGACCACAAACAAGACAATCAATTTCCTGTATCTGTTGCACCAGTTATTTTTTCCTGTGTATCAAAATAATGTCTATGTGAAATCTGTAAACTATATTGTTGCAAAATGTAAACTTTGTTCTAGATATCTGTGGTAATTAGGAGAAGCCAAGAGACGGGCAACCAATTGTTAATTCTCTTCTCGCAGGACACACATTTTTGTATAATAGATGTTATCAAAATCTTTTCATATAGCTATTTTGTGACTCACTAAGTTGCAATATTCACTTAAATGTATTATTGATGGTGTATTGTATTATTTGGACTAAGTAGAAATGTTTTTGGATACTTGTTGTTTCTCTGGATTCAGAATATGCAGTTTTGATGCAACAATGAAAGCCTAATGAAAAGTCACACACAAACTCTATGCAGAAAATACAGTATGAATACACAGTCAAACTCAAATTAATTGTAATCTACACATGCTAATCTCTAGTATTCATTATCAATGTCCTTAAGTCTACATTTAGATGTTCTATATATACTGTTAAAAATGCATATAAATAAAGCATACATATACTGCATTTTACTGGGATGGACTGGCGACCTGTCCAGGGTGTATCCTGCCTTCCTCCCAATGACAGCTGGGATAGGCTCCAGCACCCCACCGCGACCCAGAAGGATGAGCAGTTTAGATGATGTATGTATGTATGTATGTATGTATACTGCATTTTAACACTGCTGCTGTTCATTTACAGAAAATAAAATGTAAGTTCACAAAAACAAATGATCACCTTTATTTCACATTCTTTTGCATTTATTTTAATGGTTGTCACTGTTGTTATTATGGTAAAATACTGTATGTCAGAATAATTAGTTGAACTACCGAAACTGCTGAATTACAGTAAAAGCCAGTATTTCTAAGAAATGAAATGACTAATTTTACAGGTTTTTACTATTATTGATCATTCAAAATTTCTGAGTGCTTCCATCATGAACTACAAGCCTATAAAAACATTTCATACACTACAGCACATAAAACGTGCTTGCAGTTATGGGTGGGGGCAAAAATCGATTCTTAGATGCATTGCGATGCAAACGTAGACGATTCTGAATCGATTCACAAATGTCAAAAATCACTTTTCTAAATTTTAATTGATAACGTAATGTTGATGGAACACAAAAGGTGGAACTCGGAAGTGCGGAAGTGCAGTGCCCGGACAGTCTGTGGCGGCACATAACAAAAACACAAATGGATGAGAGAGAAATCCGACCGCACCCTCTGCATTAAAAGCTAGTTAGGTCAGAAGTCGACAACCCAAATGTCAAGAAGAGCCATTTTGTCCTTTCAACAAAAATGAAACCACCTTGGGAGCCACAACATTTAATGTCCAATATGTCTCAGTATGTGATAAAGTCCTAGTATAGTTTTAAAAAATAATATAAACGAAAACGCAGACTTACTTTGCTCTGCTTTAAGCTTTAGCTCAGATATAGCCGCTTTCCTCCCATCTCCGCCAGAAAACTTTTCCTCAAAAGTAGGTCAGTTTCTTGTAAAATGTTTCTCAACATACAAGGCTTAAGTCGCTTCTTGTTCGCCAGCTTTTTGTTCGAATTATCCCGTTCCACCTTAAATTCTGCCTGAGGCGCCAGAATGTAAATGCGACACCATTTAAGGTGGAACGGGAAAATTCAAAAGAGAAGCTGACTACAGCAACTTTTTAGTGTTTGACAGTCTCTCGTTGCAGATTTAATGTACCAGGAAACCAACTGCGTTGCTTATAAATGAGAATAAGTCCATTTGTCTCCAAATGTTCGTCTTAAATCTTTCTCTTTGCCGTTCTGTTAGCTAAAGTTACTAGCTAGACAGGATTGCGTTGCTATGTGACCTGCAGTCTGCACACCAGCCTTCAGCCTGTATTTGAACGATCAGCAGAGCTTTATTTTACTGCAAAGCAGGATTATTTTATTTTTACCTAGAAACCTGACTCTGATGTGGACCCACCTCAGGCCAGTAAAAGAGCTGCAGGTTGTCAACCCCTGAGCTAGCGTATGGAAGCACTTTGGCCTCTGTGGAGCATATTATATGCTTCCACCCATTTTCTGCCCGGTTGTAGTTGCTGCCAACCAGAGGATACAGCATCCCATCTCGAAGATATTTTACTGACACAGCGACCCCCCCCCCACTCTCTACAACAGTGAAATGTATTGCGCTGTGCTGTGTTTAATTCTGTTCCTTTTTCTCTCGGTATCAACACAGGCTTTTGTTTCAGTATCTGAGCTGAGGACGAGCTTTCTCTCTAACCTATTTGTAACTAGTAAAGAGACTTTCTCTAGATAGACAAAGCACTTTTTGTAAGTTGCTCTGGATAAGAGCATCTGCTAAATGCTGTAAATATAAAAAAAATGTAAATGAGACCAAAACCGAAGTTATGGAATAACTGAAGAAAGCGAGTAGGATAGCTGTAACGTGCTGCGAGGACACAGGATCTTATTTCACTGTTTACCACAGGATCTTATTTCACTGTAACTGCGCATTTTATCACAGATGAGTGGCAGCCTGTGTCTAATGTGTTCCAAACAAGAGCAGTGAATGAGAGCCTTCCAGTTCACTTGCCTCATCGCTTCCGTTTGATTTAGTAATAAAAAATATTGGAAGAATTCATTATGGATCATTACAAATATGATCCATATTCCTTTAAAAGTTCCAAGTCCTCACATGGTGAGAAAAAAAGAAATCCTGTATAGAAAAAAGATGCCTCAAGATGCATCGATAATCGTTTTATAATTGCATCGCAGCCCTCTGAATCATAATCGAATCCAATCGTGAGGTGCCTAGAGATTCCCACCTCTACTAGAAGTTCTGATGTTAGTAGCTGTTAGTATTTCATTTCTTTTTATTTTGCACAGTAGTGAATGGTGCCTTTATAATTTCACATTTTGCTATTTGCTTAATAAAGAGGTCAGACAGATTTCTATTTACACATCCAAAAAAAGTATGTGTTTGCGTCACATGCAGTCACTGGCAAACTATTTTAATAACAATTTATCACTTCTCATATTGTCTTTGTGACATCTGACAATTTTGAACGTCACATTTTATATCAATACAGTACAGCCCTAATAAAGAGTAACACATATAATGTACGTAGAACAATGCAATATAAATATACAATAAAACTTAAAATTAAATTTTAATCTACCCATGCTAATCTCCACTCTTCATTCAACAATGAAATTTAACATAGTATTCCCACATTTCTATCGAACTTATTCTGTAGTAAATTAACTAAAAAATCAGAAACAGCTACATATTCTAATAAAAGATTCATCCTACACAGCTACTGCTAATACATAAAACTAAACATTTTTGAAAACTGAGTGAGAGATGAAAGATTTCACACTTCTGAAAGTACAAATTGATCAGTCACAGGAATTTATTAACCTGAAACGTGATGGGGACCTCATAACTCATAAAGATTTGGACTACTTTTTTTTTAATTTTATATAGCTGCATGAATTAAATGGAAGTTCTTGTTTATTTTTTTTTTCATTACAATCCATAATGTGACCTTCCAGACCCTAGTTTAGTTTGGTTATTTGGTGTTACATAACCTAGGATTTAAATTTGCCATCAAACAAATTAAACATTTTACGATGTAAGATTATGAAAAACAAAACATTCAATCATGTCCAAACTTTTAAGTAGTAATCTGCTGTAATTTTAATTCAGCCCTAAATTCATCAAATTATTGATGCAACTTTAGTAATAGTGCAGGAAATTAATTTTAGTTACATAATACTAATGCTGCGTAATATGGACAAAAAATATGATGTGCAAAAAAGAGGTTTGGTATAGCACTGACAATGTGAAAGGTAATAAATTATGATTAAACTATACCATTTCAATGTATCTCTGACTGGACATGCAGCAAGTACACACATTGAAATTGACCAACTTGCTTTTGCTGTGTAAAGAAATCAAAATAATTCTAAGTAGTGATGCTTGTCTCCATTGCTTTCTTCCACAATACGCCTAGCAGCACCAATTTGTAATGAAATATGAAATATAAATTGGAACATTCTTCAGTTACATTTACATTTTTTCACAAGAATTTCTAGAGGTGCCAATCACTGCGAAATGATTTTGTTTGGGGGGGGGGAAATCATCTCATATTTTCATCTCAAAATTCAATCTCATATGTTCATTAATATTGAGCTAATTAACCACAAAGACTCTGTGGTGGCACTTCACAAGATATGTTAGATATGGTAATATGGTAACAAGTTGTAACAAATTTCTGCTTAATCAATATACCACTGCAATTCTTTACAAATCATTACAGGGTTACATAATAATCGAGTTATAACCAAAGGTGTGGACTCGAGTCCAACTCAAGTCATAAATTTGATAACTTGAAACTCGATAAAATCAAGATAGACTTGAACACCAATGACTCTGACTTGAGCCTCATGACTTGGAAAGACTCGAGACCCAAAGTGGAAGAAGCGCAGAGAGTCTGACTGCAGACGGGACTCTACACAGCCGCTTACTTTTTATTATGAATGGATTTGTTTCCTGCCAAAAATCTGATACACAGCAGCGTCCTCAAATGTCTGTTACTGTGTTTATGCTTGACTTGACTCAAGTGTCAAGACTTGAGACTTAACTAACTTGAAACTAAGTGACTTGTTCCAACCTCTGCTTATTAGCATAAAAACAACGCAGTTTTAGTAACATTACATGACATTAGTTACAGGCTGTGATACAGTAAAATTAAATGGTATTGGAGCTGCAAACTTACACCTTCCATCTAGGTTCTCAGTTACTGCCTGTCACACCAAGTAAAAACATCAGTTCCTCAGATTAATGAGGATAACTGCACTGAAATGATGACAAAATTACTGTATTATAATCACTCATGGTTGTTCTATTACTTTTACATGTAGGCCTACCTAAAGTGTAGTTACCCTGGAACAGATGAGGTGAATATACTGAGATTACACAGAATCAGGGCTGGAAAATACAACAAGTTCCTTGTGTTTTACCTGTTAACAAAATAATGTTACTCTATTATAAAGTACAAATCTGCCAAAAAGCTCCAAAATGAGTTCAATGATAGAAAACATCCCACATAACATATCTATATACATCATGTTTATCTTATTATTTATTTACAAATAATATTAGCACATAATTTTAATCATTTTATTAAGAACTTTAGAAATACAAAATTACTAAAACTACAAAATTAGCATGTAACTGATGGGTATGTTCAACTTGTTACTATAATATTACCACATCTTTACCCACTGATCTGTAAAGTACATATCTTTACCAAAGGTGCCAATAATTATGGAGCGGATGGCACAGGTCAAACAAATAAGCCAGTTAAAAGGTGTGCTGTGTTACTTCTGGTCTGCTTCAATTCGAATATTCTTTCAGATCATTTAGACAGTCCAGTTTTCTTTCACTTCATAGTAACTAAATGAAAATCTTAAAATAAAACTCACATATTAAATAATATAATACAGAACAACCCAACATCTTTTCAACTACTTCATCTGTTGTTTCAATAGTTGTTACTGCAAACGTGCATTCATGAGCTCCTTCAGGTGCAGGTTTTACGGTTTTTGTGCTAATAGCGCTCCCTGCTGGAGAAACCTCAGACTGTAAGTGATTTCCCAAGCCGTGCCCACCTGCTTTACACATTAAAAAATGAGGTGTTTTCTGTCGTTATAGCAGAGTCACTCTGGAACCCAGCCATACACGCCCTAGGAAAAGCATGTAGTATTTATTTAAAGTCTATTTTCATTATTTAACCACTGAACCACAGGAAAACTGCTGTACAGTAAATAACAGGAAACCCACAGCAGAGACAGTGAGGAATTTAAAATATTGTGTGCATATTATTCAATATTATGTAGCAAGCTGTTTAAAGGTAAATTAGTCCTCCCTAGTTCTATGTCAGTTATTTTTCCCAACATGTTGCATATTGCCCGTTAAATATTGTCATCAGGATACTTGTCTATCAGTGATGATATTAAATTTCATCGCTGTATCGCCTACACCTGTTATACACATGAACATATCCCACCTGTGGCTGGGTCAGTTATCTCACCTTGTTAATCCAGGTGGTCACAGCCTCTTCTGCATCATAAGGGAAGTCTTCCTCAGGGAAGAAAGGTGAGTATTTCTGTACACAGTTCAGCACTCTCTCCACACTGATCATCTCCACCGTATATGCCATCATTAGAGTGTCAATCATCGCCAGGTGGGAGCTCTGCAACAGTGGGAAAAAATAAAACTGTGAAGATTGTGGTAGGTTTGAACACAACTGCTAAGGTGTTTACAAACATTACAATAAGTAACAAATACAAAAGCATCACTACATCTCTAACTGCTGAACATGAACACAAAAGAAAACACAAGCAGGTAGAAAGTACAACAGCAGTACTCACAATGTTTCCCTGTCCACTGACAATGTTAGAGTCACATAGTCAAAAATTAAAAAATATTTTGGGATATTTTGGACAATTTAGCTTGTTTCTACATTCTGTCACTTGAGAAATACAGCACTCATTTACACCTTACCTTTGCAGATGTTTACTACAATTCACTTTATGTGGCATCATACATCTATACTTAAAGATCTGCACTGGTTACCCATGTTTCACTGGATTACTGTTAAGGTTTCAGCTAGAGGTGGGTAATATGACTATTGTTCAGAGTATCTGCACAAGTACATATGGACATATTCAGAGTAGATAATCTCTAGTATGTACAGTCAAATTAGCAGTAGCAGTGAACAACACGATAAGCATAGTACTTTTTCAAGTGCTAGCATAGCGCTTATGCTTTTCAGCTTTAGAGGATGCTTTACAACCTATTGTCCTAAGTTTGAATATTTTGTGACACACAAATTCACATCATGCCACATACAAATCGCAGGATTGTTTCAGCCAAACGTCTTCGATATTTGTCATCTTGCAACCACTTCTTACTGAATTTGCATTTACCCATGGCTGAGCCTGCACAGCTTGCTTGAAGCACGGTGTTCCTGATTTTTTCCTTTTCTTCTTGTGGTTTTGTTTTTTTCCGCCACAGCTCTTAAACCACTCACGTTACTACACTAATAGTGCACTTCTAATGGTATATGCGCTATTATACACTATTTAGTGTGCTAGTATG